TAATTCGTTTCATTCTGATTTAATTTTAATTATTTCTTTCCATCTACGGGATTGGGGTTTATCTTCCTGCTCTTCATCAAGGAGGTTCAGCTGTCTCATTAAATTGATGGTTTTAGATCTCTCCAATTTGTTGATATAGGAATTCAGAGCTATAAACTTGCCTCTGAGTACTGCCTTTGCTATGTCCCAGAGGAGCTGGTAATTTGTGTTCATTTTTGTTAAATATCATGAACATTTGAAGTTAGTTTCTAATCTCTTCCCTGACCCACTGGTGATTCAACAGTGTGTTGTTCAGCCTCCATGTGTTACAGGACTTTCTTTGGTGGCTTTTGGTGTTGAGTTCTAATTTTATTCCCTTGTGGTCTGAGAAAATGCAAGGTATAACTTCAATGTTTCTGAATTTGGACAAGTTTGCTTTATGACCTAAAATATGGTCTATTTTGGAAAATGTTCCATGTGCTGCTGAGAAAAACGTGTATTCTGATGCTGCTGGGTGAAATATTTGGTAGATGTCTGTGCAACCTAGTTGATCTATGCAGTTGTTTAGATCTTCAGTTTCTCTGTTGAGTTTTTGCCAAGTTGATCAATCTAGGGGGGATAGTGGTGTGTTAAAGTCCCCAACAATTAATGTCTTTGGATCTATGGAGATTTGAGGGAAAGTAGTGTTTCTTGGATAAATTTGGGTTCTCCGTTGTTTGGCGAATGGATTTTTAGAATTGTAATATCCTCCTGAGAGATCTGAAATTAGTATGTATCGACTTTCTTTATCTCTTCTAATTTTAATTGGAAGTCTATTTGATTTGATATTAGTATTGCAACTCCCGCCTGTTTATGGGGGCCATTTGCTTGTAAGATTTTTGTTCCAGCCTTTCACTTTCAAAATGTTTGTTTTTATGGGCAAGGTGTGACTTCTGATGGCAGCAGATAGAAGAATCTTGCTTTTTAATCCAACTAGACAGTCTTTGTTGCATAATTGGAGAGTTAAGTCTGTTAATGTTGAGAGATAGGATTGAGAGGTATTTGGGAGTTCCTGCCATGTTATCCACCTTCTTGGAGGCTGAGACAACTGGGTTCTTTCTGTGGTTCTTGGATTCTCAGTTAGGGTGCAAATTCTTGGCCTTTATTGTGGTCTTGTTGGTTTTCTATGTGTAGGTTTTCTATGTGGTTTTCTTTAAGTATCTTTTGTAGGACTGGTATGGTTGAGATATATTGTTTCAGTTTTTCTTTGCTGTGTTTTTTATTTGACCTTCAGTTATGAAGGAGAGTTTAGCTGGGTACAGTATTCTTGGTTGATAGTTGCTTGTCTTTAGGGCATGGCATACATCAATCCAGGTTCTTCTTGCTTTGTCTCTGCTGAGAAATCTGAGGTGATTCTAATTGGTTTCCCTCTATAGGTGACTGATCTTTTCTCCTTGACAGCTGTAAGGATCTTTTCCTTGGTCTGAGTTGATCCTGTGTGGATTATAATGTGACGGTGGGATGTCCTATTCTGGTCTGGTCTGTTTGGGGTTCTAAAAGCCTCTTGTATCTGAATAGGCCTATCTTTTGGCATGTTTGGGAAGTTCTCTGCTAGGATCCTGTTAAACAAATTTCCTAGACCATTAACTTCTGTCTCTAGGTGCTCCTCTACACCCATTATTCTCAGATTAGGTCTTCTGATGGTGTCTTCCAAATGTTGAATAGATCTATCATATTTCTTGGCTTTGTCTTGGATAGTTGTATGTTCTTTCTCTATAATAGCTAGGCTGTCTTCAATCCCCGAGATTTGATCTTCTCCATGGTCTAAGCTACTGCCAAGACTTTCTACTTTGTTTTTTCTTTTCCTTCTGTCAGCTTTGATGGCTTCCAATTCTTTATTGGAGCTTTGTTTTAGATCTTGTATGAACTTCTTTACTTCCTTAATTGGGTGTTCAGTGTTTATTCTCAAATCACTTAGTTGATTGGTTATGGTTTCCTTGGATTCCCATTCCTTCTGCCGGGTTCCATTCTGCATTCCCTTTGTGGTCTCCCTGAATTTTCAGCTGTTTATGGATTCCATGAATGTCTCTATTGATCTTTGTCTATTCTCATCCTGCACTTGCAATTCCTGTATTACTCGTTGATTAGCTTCTTCACATTCATGCAATTGCTGTAATTCTCTTTGACTGTTCTCAGCCTGCTCATGCAATTCCTGTTTCTCTGTTCTCAGACTGCTCAATTTCTTTACTTCTCTTTGAGTGTTCTCAACTTGCTCACCCTAGTTCTGTATCAATGAGTAGCTTCCTCACGCTCATGAGATTCCTATATTGACCTTTGGTTTGCCTCTTCTCTCTTCCTATCACGCCCAAACTGAGTCCTTTGCAGGTTTTCAATCTTTTCATTCACCATGTTTACCAGTAGTGTTTATAAAGCTTTTTTGGGAACTCTCCTCTGGATTGTTCATTATCTGTTATGTCACCTGATTATCATGAGTGGGAGTTGAGATACCTGGACTGGCCATTTTTCTTGTGTTTTTCCAGCTTGTTCTGCCCATTTGGTATGAAAGTAACACCAATTTTGTGCTAGACCACTATTTTAAAGGAAGCATCAACTAAAGTCCTGTAGTTGCAGTCAAAATGGTTGCAGATACAATCTATTCAACATCAAACAACTATGGATTAATTGGCTAAGAACAGCAAAGAAGAATTTGGCAAACCAGAAATTATTAGGTTTAGGGACAAATGTGGGTGGAGAGGTAAAAGGAGAGTGAATTTAACCAAGGCTCAAAGAGGGAAATGGATTGAATAAATGATAAGAGATTTTTTTTAAAAAAATAGAGGTGGAAAAACAAAAATTTAAATTTAAAAAGTGAGACATTTATAAATTATGCAGGTTTAAAGAAGTGATATTGAGAAAAGAAGAATAGGATCAGAGTAAGGGAGGGATAGAAAGGAGACAGGAAAAAATTAAAAATTAAAATCCTTTAAAAAATTATATAGGTATAAAGAGATAATACTGCTATTAAAGAATTCAATCCTAAGAGGTTTTGATTTGAGTAATAAATTTCTGGGTTGTGTGTACACAATGGGGGATAAAGTCTAATAATCGACGATAGGTACATATCTGATGATGAGCAGAACAGCAATTAAGTCATGCAAAAAAGAATGAAAGAGAAGAAAAATGAAAAGAATGAAAAAGAAAAACAAGAGAAAAAAAGGCTCAAAAGGACAGTAGAGATTTAAAAAAAATCACACACACACACACCTAAAACAAAAACTATGTGAGGAAAAAAAAATAGAAAATAATTTTTTTAATTTAAAAAGTTTTAAATGTACAAAAAAAAAGTTCTTTAATTTTTTTTTGGGGGGGGTGGATGGGCAGTTTCTGTATCTCCCTTGTGTTCTAACCAGTCTCTTGGGGAGTCTCTGGTCTGCTTGTGGTGTTTGGTTTTCCTGTGGCTTGATTGGTTTCTTAAGTCAGTTTGTTTGAGCAGGCAGAAAAATGCTTACTTTACCCAGGATTTTCTGATCCTCCTCCCAGGCTAGTTCAGTGGGAGAGAGATCTGCTTTTGAGTATCACAAAAGAGGGAGATGGCTGTTTACTCTAGTTTGGAGATGATGTGATGAGGCTAGGTTCTGGGCAGGGTTGAGGCCTTTCAGCAAAGTGCAGCTTTTCCCTGAGGGGCTAGCTTCTGAGACACCCACAGAGCCCAGCCTGGAGCCATTCTCAAGGTTTATATTTACTGAATTTCAATTGATTGTCTAGGCTGCTGTAGGGAGGGGCAGCCTCTGGCTCTGTTTACCCAGTGAAGAACACACTTCTCTGGGGGCGGAGCTTCTCTGCCTAGGCTGGATGACTTTCCCCTAAGTGGAACTGAGCCTGGCAGGCCAGGTCAGGTTCCTGTGACCTGCTAAATGACTCTTTTGTTTTCTTCCAAGGCCTGAGTAGGAGCTAGCTGCTCAGCTGGGCCTTTGTCAGTATCAAAGATGGAGATCTCAGGTGGTGGTAGGCGGGAGATGGGGGCGGGGCCTTCCCTCCTCTACTCCCTGACGAATAAGGATGTCAGGGTTCTACTATTGCAGGAGTCTTGGTTCCTGGGTCGTCTCTGGCCTGGGACCTGCAGGATGAAGATATCTGCTCCTTGTCAGTTCTTGCTGGTGTTGAGTAGAATCCACTCATCTGGCACCTTTGTCCTGGACTTTTTGTGTTGTAGGTATGGCAGCTCCAGCTGCTGCTGCTGCCATGGCTACCAGCAAGTACACAGATCTGTCTCCTTGCCTGGATTTTCCCTCTCTGGCCAAACTGTCTGTACTGTGATGGCACACTTGGTGTAATTCTCTGGCCTTCGACTGTTCACTGGAACACTAAAACTGCTTTCTATGCAAGAGTTTGTTTAGCCTCTAGCTTCTCCTCCTCCATCTTCCTCCGACTTTTTTTTTTTTTTTGAGTAGGGGAAGGGAATTGGAACCAGAGCTTGAACCAAGTCCCTCATGTTTACTTGGTTTAGGCTAGTGCGCCACCAATTAGGCCATACCTCCAGCTTGGCTTTTTTTTTTTTTTTTGGTCCAGTAGTGGGGCCTGAACTCTGGGCCTGGGCACTGTCCCTCAGCTCTTCAGCTCAAGGCGAGTGCTCTACCACTTGAGCCACGGTACCACTTCCGGCTTTTTTTTCTTTTTGCTTATGTGGTGCTGAGGAATCGAACCCAGGGCCTCATGCATGCAAGGCAAGCGCTCTACCACTGAGCCACCTTCCCAGCCCCAGCTTGGCTTTTTAATGATTGAGGTGAAGTCACATAGAATTTTGCCTGGGATGACCTTGAAACCCATTCTGCTCTCAGCCTTCTGAGTAGCTAGGATAACAGATATGAGCAACAAGCTACAAGTAATTTTTTCCCCCAAACATTAAAAGATTGTACATGGTATTCCTATAACAGCACTTGGGGGAAAAAACCCATATTAATATTTTTCTCAATCTATAAAAAGATAACATGTTACAGATAACATGCTACACTGGCACTGTGACCCATAATGAGTTTGGAAAATATAACAAGATTCAGCTTTATTATTACATCAGTATAATTTTAACCAAAAGGCATATTAATGTCACAGTTTTTTTAAAATATAAATATGTTTAAAAGTTGTTTTACAGTATGAGATACCAAGAAAAATACAGTTGTATAGACAGTCATATTGACCATCTGAGAAATAGGATCAGAACCTTACTATGGTAAAAGAAAATACATTTTTAAATCAATCACATCAATACTGGAAATGCTCTATGTAAACAAACATTCCAATCAATACCTCTCTTTTCTGTGTCAAATTTGTTATGTGTCTACTGTTGTTTTGACGACTGCATAGCTCAGTATAAAAATACAACAGTAAGCCTAATTAGGTAAATTCCAATTCAGAGCTCTTATTTTAAGACAAATATTATGCAAATACTGTATGGAAACAGACCTGTTATAAAGATAACTACTGTAGAAGAACAATGCACATGTGACACCTTCTGCACAATCTTGATTATCTGCCTTTCTTCCTCCTCTTTGAAGTGCTAGGTTAATGTACATTTACTCTAAAAGTTACTAGAAGAGCATTTAAGAAAGGATTTTCTTGATAAGTAATTGCCAATTATTTCCTATTTTATAGGTTTTTGTACAGACTTTCTTAAAAAGAATGTTTAATGTGCAATACTTGCAGAAATAAAATCCATCTTTAACTCAAACCCAATTGAGTATTATCAAATATAGTAACATATAGCTCAAAGCAGCAGTGATTCTCAGGGCAACAGGTGCAAGATCCAACGTTTTGATATATATTTACATCATTGTGGTCAGAATAGAAATGTACCAAAACTCCCTTTCCCATTCCACTTAAACTGGTTTCCCATGATTGCAACAAACATCTCCTGTGACATTAAGTTGTCATCAGCTTGTGTGATGCCTAGTTCACTCAACCTTTTCTTCCTCATCTGGCCTTTCTGTGTGGATGCAGCAACTATTTCACTTGCAATTTCATAGTTCCCCTCAGCCTGTTCAGAAAGGTCAGCTTTTACATGAAGTTCCATTTTGCCAGTCGTACACTGAATCAGCTCTTCTAGATCAACCCTTATGGCGGCATCTGCCTCTACACTTGTCTTCAGTTTCATTGCTTCATTTTCTAAAGAAATGCAAATCAAAACAACACTGAGATTCCACCTCACCCCAGTTAGAATGACTTATAAAATCTAAGGACAACAGATGCTGGAAGGGATGTGGCCAAAAGTGAATGCTACTGTTCTGTTGATAGGAGTGTAAACTTGTTTAACCACTCTGGAGAACAATATGGAGGTTCCTCAAAAGACTACACATAGAGCTCCCTTTGACCCAGCAATCCCACTTCTGGCATTTAACAAAAGACCACAAATAAGGCCATACTAAAGCTATCAGTACAACCATGTTCATTGCACAACCATGTTCATTGCAGCATTATTTATCATAGTTAAGATATGGAAACAACCCAGATCCCCCTCAGTAGATGAAAGTATCAAGAAAATGTGGTAGATATACACAATGGAATTCTCTGCTTCCATCAGAGAATGACCTCGCTCCATTCATAAGGAAATGGAAAGACTTAGAAAAAATCATATTAAGTGAAGAAGGACAAACTCAAAGAAACATACTCCATGGTTTCCCTCATTTGTAATGATTACTTTATGTCTAGGATAGTCCTAGCAGAGGATCATAATAGCTCAATAGCTAGGTACATATGACCACATAAGATGATGCTAAGCAAAATGAACTCCAAGATATGGAAACAAGAGGTTTTCCTTTGTTACTGTTGTTTTTAATGTACTATGTGGAGTCATTTTATTTTTCTTTCATTTTTCCCGCAATGATTTATCCCCTGTTGTCACTGTATTTGATTTTGGTACCCTATGTATTCTATATACATTTATCTGAATTAAGGAAGGGAAGAGGAACAACAAAATGGTGAGACAAAGGACAAAGGTTGAACCAATGCAACAGTGATACTCATAAGATAATATATTGGAAATGAACTTTACAACTTGGGGAGTTTGGAGGGGAGGAGTAGTGGGAGAAAAACAGGGAGGGAGCCAGAATGTTTGACAAGAAATGTACCCACTACCTTACATACATAACTATAACCCATCTGTACATCATCTTGACAATAAAATTAAATTTTAAAAAATTATTAACCATGGTTTCCCTTATTTGCAATATCTAGTATATGTATGAGTCAAGCGGAAAAGGTCAGATAATGCAATGTTAAGAAAATGAACCCTTAGATATGTATTTTAATGTTTTTTTCCTTTCATGCATTTGTTTCTAACGCATTTATAAGATTATCTCTTTGTAGCTTTGTATGTCCCTCCCCCACAGTATAACCCCTGCCTTCACTATATTTGATGTCAGTATAACTTGTAGAGGAGATGGGGAAAAACAAGTCGTTTAAGGATACAGGTGGACCTGTTGCAACAATGAGAAGTATAAGTTGTCATGTCGAAAACGAGCTTTACAATGTTGGTGTGGGGGGGGGGAGGCTGGGAAGGGATGTGAAGGGTAAACAAAGGAGGAGGCTGCAATGCTTGATAAGAAATGTATGCATTATCCTGCCCATGTAATTGTAACCCCTCTGTACAGTGTGTTCACAAAAAATAAAACTTAAAATTAAAAAAAAATATTAAAAGCCAAAAACTTGGAAACTGCAGAACCACAGAATTACAATACCAAAGTTCTGGGTGAAAAGTTGAACTTGAAAGTTTCTCTTATTCTGAGATTTTATGTTAGGGTTTCACTAAGCTTCTCTATCTCTATGACCAAGCATGTTCCTGTAATATTTTTTTTTAACTGTATTTTTTTTTGTCTTTTCTTCTTTTTGATACTGGGATCCAACCCAGGACATTGCACTTGCTAGGCAAGCGCTTTGCCACTGAGCTACATCCCAGCCCTCCTGTAATATCTTTAAGTAGGGAAAGGATACTCATGTCCTAATTAGATGTTAGTGCTAAAATAAATTAAATCTGGTTCTCATATTAAGAAATTACAAAATAAACCATACCTTCAGTTTCATCTTGGGTATTTTTTTGCAGGTCAGAGAAAATTACAGGTTTCACCAAAACAACACCATAACCTTCATTATTATGTATCATATTATTTACCATGGATATCTTGGGAATGTCATAATGCTCATCTAAGAAGTCCTGTGACATTGAAAACAAATCATATTCAACATTGTCTGTTTTAAAAATCTTCTAAATTTTTCACAATATTCTAAAAATAAAATAAAAAAGATATGCTTACATGATACAACATTCCTTTAATTTTTAAAGAATCTAAGGCAGCAAAGCTTTCTCACAAGAGCCTTTCAATCACCAACCACAAATAGTATTAAAATTTATGTGATGTTTATACCTCTCAAAATAAGACAACAAAGCCTGGAATTGGTGGATCATGCCTATAATCCTAGGTACTCAGAAGGCTAAGATCTGAGGACTATGATTTGAAGCTAGCTTAGGCAGCAAAGTCCGTAAGACCCTTATGGCCAATTAACCACCAAGAGGGCAGAAATCTAACTATGGTTAAGTTGTTAAGTGCTAACATTGTGAGAAAAAGCTAACAATAGCCCATTGGCTCTGAGTTTAAGCCACAGCACAAGCACACACCAAAAAAAGACAACAAAACACAAAAAAACTTCTTAAAAAAAATTTTGTTGGGGCTGGGAAGGTGGCTCAGTTGTAGAGCGCTTGCCTTGTATGCATGAGGCCCTGGGTTCGATTCCTCAGCACCACATAAGCAAAAAGAAAAAAGCCGGAAGTGGTGCTGTGGCTCAAGTGGTAGAGTGCTAGCCTTGAGCTGAAGAGCTGAGGGACAGCGCCCAGGCCCAGAGTTCAGGTCCCATGACCGGACTCAAAAAAAAAAGAAAAGAAAAGAAAAAACTTTTGTTGTTGTTGTTGTTTGTTGTTGTAGGTCGTGGGGCCTGAACTCTGGGCCTAGGTGCTGTCCCTCAGCTTTTCAGCTCAAGGCTAGCACTCCACCACTTGAACCACAGCAACACTTCTGGCTTTTTTCTGCTTATGTGGTGCTGAGAAATTGAACCCAGGGCCTCATGCATGCATGGTAAACATTCTACCACTGAGCTACCTTCCCAGCCCACTAAAAACAGTTTTTTTAAAGTGAAACCATTCTAGCCTTCAGGAAGAGCACATTTTAGCCACCAACTCACCTTGATGAGAATCCCCTCCTTGCAATGATGGATCACATTGTCAATCAAGGAACACTGACTCCCAGGATATATCTCTATACCAGCACCCTGCAGGTTAAATAATGTCATCATTATTTAAAAGACAGTTTTTTAAAAGACAGGATTATAAAAAGTTTATTACAATCACATTCTAGCCTTTAATATAGTACAAAAATAAAATACAAAGGTAACTTTTATTTGATACATCTAATCAAGACTTCTATTTGCTCCATTTCCAACAAACTGATAATCACATCACTTTTTTAAATTTATCTTTTTATCTCTAAGAAGTTGTATGAAAAGGATTTCTGTTCAACATGTCAGTATACAATGCATCTCCATCAATGTCACTCCTTCCATTATTCATCCTCTTCTCCAACTCCATCCATCCCTTCAACTTACCTGGTTCCATTTTCATACATGTACACCGAACATTATGACTATATTCAGCCACCTTTTCTCACTCCATTCATCTGCCCTCCCTCTACTAGTCCCAACTATTCCTTCTACCCTCCTCCCAACAACATGTTTCCACTTTCTGGTATTCACCTTGTTAAATTTTAAGTCAGTCATTCAAAGGAGATATACCATTGGAATCATCCCAGTGTATATTATACTTTAGTTAATTTGTGTATATTGATCACATTACTTTCAAAACCTCACACACTCATACATATAGACACAAAATGCTTAAAAATGTCACATTGACTTTTGTTCTTTCATTCCAGATAATTTGTCTAGTTCTGTCAAAAATAAGCCATTTAGTAATAACTATTAAAATAATAAGATAAAAAAACCATTCTGAGAGGTAATAGAGAGAAATATGTTCTACTTTTCAAAAACAAGCCAGCTTAAAATAGACCTTAAAAAACTAATTCAGAAATCACCTCTGAGTTAAACAGCTCCTACTCCTATTACTACCCAAGATAAAATCAGCATCTAATTTCAATGCTATTTATATCAAGTAATTTAAAAGACCCCATACAGGATCCAATTCTTGCATACTTCATGCAAAAAAAAAAAAAAAACTCCAATACTTTATTTCCTTATGAGATGGTAGACACTTTGAAAACCAAATGTTCACTCATATCTTTATGGCTATTTGAGAAACCATTTAGGAATAATTTAATTCCCAATATATAAAAGAAGACATGTGTGCTCATTTATGACACAGCTATTGTAGTGTGCTAAATTGTTTTTCTAGGAGTCATAGTATACAGGGAGAAAGCATTAGCTCCCCATTTACATATGGATGGAGCACATGTAATCAGCCTAACCCTTCTAGACAGCCTGCTAACTGGGCACCAATAGCACATGAATGAACTGACTTTATATCTTTATATCTTGAATATCTAATTCATTCAGAACTTAAACCCAATAACTACTCCCTTTAAAGCAATAAAAAATTATCATACTTTGGCACCATATAAATCTGAGTCCTTCATTAAAAATTCAGCCGATGTTCGTATGGTGACACCTGTAGTTTCACATTGCAGTACACAATTGTCCAGTGTAGTCTTGCCATGATGAATAACTACAATGAAAACAAAGGGTTGCAGTGACTCATACCATAATCCTAGTTACTCAGGAGGTAGAGATTGGGAAGGTTTCAGTTTGAAGCCAACTTGGGCAAAAAATTATACAGATTGCATATCAACAAAAAAGTGTGATGATTCACACTTTTCATTTCAGCTATGTAAATAAGGAATTGTAAACATGATCCTAGTGTAGGCCAGACTGAAAATAAACATGAGACACAATCCCAAAAATAACTAATAACAAAAGAGGACAGACACTGATGATTTATGCTTTAATCCTAGCTATTCAGGAAATAGAGATCTGAGGATTGCGGTTTAAAGCCAGTCTAGGCAGGAAAGTCCATGAGACTCATATGTCCAATTAACCAGTAAAAAACCAGAAGTGAAGCTGTGACTCAAGCAGTAGAACATTAGTTGTGAGCAAAAACAAGCTAAGGGACAGCACCCAGGACCTGTTTTCAAGCCCCAATACCAGTACACCAAAAAAAAAAAGAAAAGAAAAGAAAAAAAGAGCTAAAATCACATCTCACATAGTATAGTGCCTTGCCTAGCAAGTACAGTCTTGAATTCAAACCCTAGTACTGGAAAAAAAAAAAAAGGGAATGTGCCTAGTTCAATATTAGAAATAGACTACAACACTAGACAGTCTAAATATTTCTCAAAGAATACCATTTAAAGTTTGTTAAATTCATAAAATATAAAACAAAGACTATAATATTTTCTAAAAATCAACATTCTTAAAAAGAGACTAACAACCTCAGAAACGCAAAGTATTCATTCATTACAAAATATGTGTGTGTGTGTGTGTGTGTGTGTGTGTGTGTGTGTGTGTGTATCTTGGAAGGAAGAAGAATTAGTATCTGAAAAAGTAGAGCATACACATTCTAGGAAGTCATACTTGAGCAATGTGTCTTAGTTGGTTTTGGGTTGCTATAACAAACTGCCCAACATTGGGTAACAGTTTTTTTAAAAAAGAGGTTAATTTGAGTCATGATTCTATGTGTATATGTGCGCATGTGTGCGTGTCTGTGTGCACTCACGCACACATGTGCCAGTACTGGGACTTTAACTCGTGGTCTTGTGCTCTTGCTGGGCTTTTTCTTCTCACTGCTGTATCACTTGAGCCACACCTCCAGTTTCAGCTTTGTGAAGGTTAATTAAATCTATCACATTTGTCTGCCTGGGCTGGCTTTGAACCTCAGTCCTCAGATCTCAGCATCCTGAGTAGCTAGAATTATACATATGAGCCACTAGCACCCAGCTCTGGTGGCTTTCAAGTTCAGTCTGACAAGATCTCCCCAGCTGTATTACAACAAGCATAAATGTAAAATGTCATATGCAGCAAGGGCACATGAACTACTAGCAAGGACGATTTTAGGGATGGCCCATCCTTACTCTTTTAAAACAACCCACTCTCAAGAAAACTGATCCACTCTTGTGATACCTGCATTAATCTATTAATGAAAGTGGACCATCTGTGACCTATTAGTTCCCACAAATCTCCAACACTTAAAAGAGCAAGCTCCCTTTAGAAGGCACACTGAATCTAAAGCATACCACAGTATTAAGAAAGCTGGCTTTGGCCTAGCATTACACCAAATACAAAAAGCACAGACCACAATATGTAGTGATTTAAAAAATGTAATGACAAAAAAAAAAATCTAACAAAGAAGAAACCAGTATTATATAACTCTTGGGGCTGGAGGCATGGCTCAGGTAGTAGTGCATCAGCCAATGAGCAAATGCATCAGATATGAAGTCTGAGTCCAAGTCTCAGACCAAAAAAGTCCCTCTTCAATGAACTACCTTTTCACGTTAGAGTAAGCTTCCTAAGTCATTATGTTATATACATAATTAATCAGTCCTCCATATACTCAAGGCATTTCATTAAATTCTATTTTCCATAGAAAGTATTCTTTCAAAGCCTAAAACAAATAATAAAACATGCAGATACTTACTTAAGATTCCTTCTACAGCATCATGCTGAATAAATTTTATGCTTGAGATTTTAATATCTGCCCCTGTGCAATCCACAAAAGTGTCCCCTTTGCCCCTCTTTTCTATCACAATATCATCTGGTAGACCATACCCTATGGAAGAGAAAAAAAACCACTTAAATGTGAGGGGTAAAAACTCTAGGATAGATTTCTCTAGTTCATGATTCCAAGGGATACAAGTAGACCAGTATCTAAATAAAATCTATCTCCCCAGATACTTACATTAATTTAATGCAGTGTAGTAAATGTTTAACAAATTCCCAATTTGTCCCAACATCAAAAAAATAATGATTCTCAGGGGCTGGGAAGGTAGCTCAGTGGTAGAGCACTTGCCTTGCATGCATGAGGCCCTGGGTTCAATTCCTCAGCACCACATAAGCAGTTAAAAAAAAAAAAAGTGGAAGTGGCACTGTGGCTCAAGTGGTAGAGCACTAGCCTTGAGCTGAAGAACTGAGGGACAACACCCAGGCCCAGAGTTCAGGCCCCACAACCAGACACCCCTGCCAAAAAAAATAATGATTCTCAACACTATGGAGGCTAAGGTAAGAAGATCACAAATTCAAGAAGGTATAACCCCTGTTTTCCCTGTATTTGATGTTGGTATAATTTGCAGAGGGGAAGGGGAAAAAAATAAATTGTTTAAATAGGGATACCGGTGGACCCATTACAACAATGAGATGATATGTCGAAAAACAAACTTTACAACTTTGGCACTGGGGATGGGAAGGGATGGGAAGGAGAAACAAAGGAGGAGGCAACAATACTTGATAAGAAATGCACTCATGGGGTTGGGAAGGTGGCTCAGTGGTAGAGCCTTGCAAGCCTGAGGCCCTGGGTCCGATTCCTCCGCACCACATAAGCAAAAAAGAAAAAAGCCGCAAGTGGCACTGTGGCTCAAGTGGTAGGAGCGCCAGCCTTGAGCTGAAGAGCTGAGGGACAGCGCCCAGGCCCAGAGTTCAGGCCCCACGACCAGACCAAAAAAGAAAAAAAAGAAATGCACTCATTACCTTGCCCATGTAATTGTAACCCCTCTGTATGGTATTTTCACAAAAAAAAAAGAATAACCTATGTTCAAAGTCAGCTCGAACTACATAATGAGTTCTAGGTCAACACAGACTACATATACTATATAAAAAAGAAACTTCCTAAAGATTCACAGCAGGATCAAAGGACTTTAACATATTCAATTTTAGCCCTTTTACCATTCTAATATTGTACAACTCTATGTGAATTTAAATCCAGCATTTCTCAAGATTAGCTAACTAATAATTCTGTTAAACACACTGTCTTAAATGTAACAAACTGACTTCAAGTAGAAAAAAAAAGGCTCATTTTACTAACACTAAATAACATCAAATCTGAGTATTTATAACTAAAAAGTAGTAGATTCCTATGGTAAACTCATTCCCAGTAATATCAACCCTATTAAATTGCATATTTCTTAATTAAATAAAAATCTGTTAATTCCTGTCACAAAAAAAAAAAATAGCATCAAATCTCTACAAAAGTTTTCTTTCTTTGTGGGGCTGGGAAGGTGGCTCAGTGGTTAAAGCGCTTGCCTTGCATGCCTGAGGCCCTGGGTTCAATTCCTCAGCACCACATAAGCAAAAACAAAAAAGTCGGAAGTGGCGCTGTGGCTCAAGTGGTAGAGCACTAGCCTTCAGCTGAAGAGCTGAGGGACAGTGCCCAGGCCCAGAGTTCAGGCCCCATGACCGGACCCCAAAAAAAAAAAAAGTTTTCTTTCTTTACAGTGCTGGGGATCAGATCCTGGAACTTTTACATGTAAAGCAACCACTCTAACACTGTATCAGCCCCAGCCCCTAGCTAAATCTTACAACTAATAATGCAATTTAAACTAAATGAATTTATAGAATATCAGAAAACAAGAACTTGGGCTGGGAGTATGCTTAGTGATACAGTGCTTGCCTAGAAAACTGAAGAACTTGCCAGGCACCAGTGGCTCACATCTGTAATCCTAGCTATTCAAGAGCCTGAGATCTGAGGATCATGATTCAAAGCCAGCCCAGTTCAAATGCAGCCCAGCAGGAAACTCCATGAGATTCTTATCTCCAATAAACCACCAAAAAACTGGAAGTGGCCCTGTGGCTTGCCTTGAGCTGAAGAGCTCAGGGACAGTACCCAGGCCCAGAGTTCAAGTCCCACAACTGAAAAAAAAAAAAAAAAACTCAAGAACTTGACTGTATTTCATCATAAAACTACATAGACAAAACTTTAAGTAACAAATAACTCTTAGGCTGGGAAGGTAGCTCAGTGGTAGAGTGCTTGCCTTGCATGCATGAGGCGGTAGGTTTGATTCCTCAGCACCACATAAGCAGAAAAAGTCAGCAGTGACGCTGTGGCTCAAGTGATAGAGCACTAACCTTGAGCTGAAGAGCTGAGGGACATCACCCAGGCCCAGAATTCAGGCCCATAACCAACAAAAAAAATAAAAAAAGAAATAACTCTTATTGTCTAAAGATTAATCTTGGCTTGATTAGATGAAAGCATTAGCTGCTCTAAACAGCAAGGTTACTTGAGGAGAACAGACAAGACTTTAAGAACAGTAGAAGATGTATAAGGAGGCTCTATTCACAAGAATGTTACAGATATGGACACTGGATAATTAAGGATGTAGGCAATTTGTCTCTGTTTCCTTATATGAGCCTGCCTATACTCTGCATATTTTCTACAACAATTATAATCTTTAGAAACATATATATATAAAGAATTTCATGCTGAGGAACATTACATTTGATGTAATTATACAAATTACATAGTCTTAGCACTTAAAAATTGAAAACTCTAATTGATTTTCTAAACAAGAATACAAAGCTCTATTGTAATGTAACCCTGAATATAATACTCAATATATATCACTTGTTAATAAGAGTTATGAGTCACTCCACATATTCACATCAGACATATCATCTGTCCAATTCTCAGAAATGCTTGTTAATGGAAGTGGCGCTGTAGCTCAAGTGGTAGAGCGCTCGCCTTGAGCTGAAGAGCTGAGGGACAGCGCCCAGGCCCAGAGTTCAAGTCCCACGACCGACAAAAAAAAAAAAAAAAAAGTCATTCTTAAAAAAAAAAAAAAAGGAAATGCTTGTTAATAAATGTAGTCATTTTTACACTAAACCAGAATTCAATATTATTAATATATAATTAATATTAATAGTGCCACTAATACTAATGATACTCTGGCAATTGTACGTCAATGTTATTTTCACTGTGCCAAAAAGTATATATAAAATGTCTTTATTGCAGTGCTTTATCCTGGAAATCATTGTAAACATTGTAAACATATAGAGTATAACTGTTAAAAATTTATTTTTAATTGAATCTACCAACATTAATGTTCTTAAAAATATATTTTAGTCAGGATACAAAGTGTAGCTTCTGTGACAGTCAGTAAGTTGTAAGAATTAAGATAACTTTTTGGTATCAATTTGAATGCACTTCACAAATAAACTATATTAGCCAGGTACACCAGTGGCTCACACCTATAATCCTAGCTACTCAAGAGCCTGAGATTTGAGCATTGTGGTTCAAAGCCAACCCAGGCAGCAGAGTCCTTGAGACTCTTATCTCCAGTTAACCAACAGAAAACCAGAAGTGATACAGCCCATTGCAATAACCCGTATATCAAGATATCCATGTGTTGGATAAGAACAAACAACAATTTTTTTTAATATTGAAAAATTTAAAAACATTAAAATTAAAAAATTAAAATAATGCTGCAGTTGTTTTACCATCCTAGAAATTAAGTTTCTTTCTATAAGCTACCGACAATCTGAAAGCTAAAGTACTCTCTCCTAATGGTATTATTACTTTACATGTGCCTATAAACAACTTCCCATCATACACTACCACAAAGATCTGCAACTCGGAACTGGTGCTGTGGCTCAAGTAGTAGAGTGCTATCCTTGAGCTTAAGAGCTGAGGGACAGTACTCCATGACCAACAAAAAAAAAAAAAAGATCTGCAACTCAAGATGGATCCATTCCCTCTGGGCTTTAAATACCCTTAATGTCCCAAGGCAACTCACTGAAAATCAAATGGAAGTTTTGGTAAGATTTGATTCACTTTTATACATGAGAGTTTGGCTGGATCCTCTTCTATACTCACCTTCTAACTCAATGGAGTCAGCAATGGAGAATGAACCATGTACCGTGTAATGGCCTGGACAAACAATAACAGTGTCACCTTCATAGCAGGCATTTACAGCTGACAGTGGATCACTATGAAACTAGAAAACAACACAGTGTAAATACTCAACCTGCAAAAGCAACAAGTATTTCTACAAATACTTTCATGGGTCACTTACAAATGGAGAAAAACTGCACACTTAAGTATTTCCTATGACAGTGCTCTGAGCCCAATGCACTCTTGAAGAGTTACAATGCTGACCAGGGGCAGAGCTCCCACCACTTCCTATTCCATAGAAAATCAGTTCTGGAAGCTCCCATAAATAATGGAGAATTCAGAACAACCTAGGAAAAATCTAAAGACAAAACCACCTGGTCCAAGAAACTCCAGTACCTGAATTTCCATTTCTTCCTTACACAACTTGTCCCTCAGCAGAGACTGAAGTAGACCAGTCCTCACGGTGGAAGAGACCACATGAGTCACCTTCTGGCCATTTGGACGTGTGCCCTTTGCTTGGATACTAGAGTTCTTCTGATAACCAAACACATATCTTAAAGAAACCAAAAGATCCATGAGTTCTCAGTAACATAGCTCCTAAGAAAGAAGCTAACTAGTTAAGAATAACAGAGACACACATACCTTAACAAAGGATTCTCAATGAGTTTTAGCTTTTGTTTCAGCTGTTCAATCTCTGAATACAGTTTTAACCCTTCTACCATAGTGATGTTTTCTTGCTCAGAATCAGAATTACAATTTGACAAACTGCTTCTCAGATTCAAGAATTTCCTATAATTCTCCTCACACTGCGACAAGAGATTGTGGTAGTCAACAATAAGTCCTGAGGGAACTCGGTCTTCAAGAATGTCATAATGCCTGAAAGTTTAAGAGCAAACTGAAATTCACTGGTTTTTGAGAACATTTTCCTATCTTAACTGGGATTATTTAATTTTCAGAGTAAGTTGTTCTGAATAAGTAAAAACTATTAGAACTTTAAAGTAGTACTTCATTAGGATCAGTACTTTTTCTTGTTTTGTAAAGTTTTTCCTTAAACGTTTGTACCTTACAAACATTATCAGGTCATAGTTGTAACATATAATTGTAATCGCTAATAAATTATTTTGCAGGGAACTGGTGGCTCATATCTGTAATCCGAGCTACTTAGAAGACTGAGATCTGAGGATCATGGTTCAAAGACCCCAAAACTTTTATCTCCAATTAATCAGCAAATCCCTGGAAGTAACTATGTGGCTCAAAAAAGAAAAAGCTAAGCAAGAGCATGAAGCTCTCAGTTCAAGCCCTGGAACTGGCACCAAAAAAAAAAAAAAAGCAAGAAAGAAAAATAGATTTGAAAACATTCATAATCTAGAAAAATGTTTCAGTATTTTAGAAATCTGTATTTACCACAAATATTAACCATTTAATATTTTTATCTTTCAAGTAAGAACTTGACAGAACATCTTGAGTCAATTTAGTCTACTGTGTTTTATTATGTAGAGCAAAATTGTGTACCTTTTAATTTTAAGTGAAAGCAAAGAATCTTCTATAATTCAATTAGTTTCACTATTTCTCAAATAACTATTTTTGAATGCAACAATAGGGTTTTTTATGTACTCTAATTGAACTGTTTTGGTGTTTTTTGTTGTTGCTGTTGTTCTAGCAAAGATTTATTTTAGTATAACAGGGCTAAAGTAGTGGGGAACTGCAAGGGATTGGGAGTTAAACTGTGGCTCAAGTGGTAGAGCACTAGCCTTGAGCAAAAAAGATTAAGGATAGCACCAAAGCACTGAGTTCAAGTCCAGGACCATGACAAAAAAAAAAGAGAGAGAGAAAGAAGAGAAAGAGAGAGAAAGAGAAGAAAAAGAGAGAGAGGAAGGAAGGAAGGAAGGAAGGAAGGAAGGAAGGAAGGAAGGAAGGAAGGAAGGAAGGAAAGAAGGAAGGAAGGAATGAAGAAAGGAAGGAGAAAGAAAGAAAAAGTGGCATTGTGGCTCAAGTGGTAGAGCTTGAGCTAAGAGCTCAGGGACAGTGCCCAGGCCCAGAGTTCAATCCCCACAACCAGAAGAAAAAAAAAAGGTTCACTGGGTGCCACGGCTCACACCAGTAATCCTAGCTACTCAGGAGGCTCAGATCTGAGGATTGCGGTTCAAAACCAGTTTGGGCAGGAAAATCCATGACACTCTTATCACCAATAAACCACTCAGAAAACCAGACATGGCACTGTGGCTCAAGTGGTAGAGCGGTCGCCTTGAGCTGAAGAGCTGAGGGACAGTGCCAAGGCCCAGAGTTCAAGTCCCATGGGAAAGGGAAAGGGAAAGGAAAGGAGAAAGAAAATAGTAAGAGAATAAGAGACATTTTCTGCTCCCCTGGCAGAAAATGGAAGTTACAGACTCAAAAATAAATTGAGGAGCTGGGAAGGTGGCTCAGCAGTAGAGTGCTTGCCTCACATGCATGAGGCCCTGGGTTCAATTCCTCAGTACCACATAAACAGTAAAAAAGGCTGGGGGGCTGGGAAGGTGGCTCAGTGGTAGAGCATTTGCCTTGCATGCCTGAGGCCCTGGGTTCGATTCCTCAGAACCACATAAGAAAAAAGAAAAAAGCCGGAAGTGGCGCTGTGACTCAAATGGTAGAGTGCTAGCCGTGAGTTGGAGAGCTGAGGGACAGCACCCAGGCTTAGAGTTCAGGCCCCACAACCGGACCCAAAAAATAAAAATAAAATAAAATAAATAAAAATTAAAAAGGCTGGAAGTGGCACTGGGGCTCAAGTGGTAGCCTGCTAGCCTTGAGCTGAAGAGCTCAGGGACCTAGAGTTCAAGCCCCACGGCTGACAAAAAAAAAAGAATTGAATTTTATTCAGATTTACGGTGAGCCATTAACTTATTCTTAAACTGTCAATCTTTAAAAGTACACAGGCAAATGTGGTGGCATGCACATTCATTAAATCCCAGGAGTCACCAGGCGATGGTGGCTCACGCCTGTAATCTCAGGAGGCTGAGATCTGAGGATCACAGTGTGAAGCCAGCCTGGACAGGAAAGTAATCCTACCAGCTATAGAAAACACAATGTTCTCTAAGGTGAATATGATATTTGCTATGGTTGATAGTCACAAGGTATACAATATAGAGAACTTCTTGGAACAGTTAGTGAAATTTCCCCACATTAGTTTTATTGAGGCTTCCATTTTATCAGAACTATATCAACATCAACTCAGCATAAGATAATGTCACTCATTGATATAGCAAAGACTAGGAAAAAGGCTAGGTATGACAGCTTGTGTTTGTAATTCAGTTTCTAGAAAGGCAGAGATCCAGGACTGTGATTCAGGCCTGGCTCTGTGAAAAAACTTGAGACCCTATCTGAAAAATAACCCAAAGAAAAAGAGAAAAGGGAGAGGGAAAGAAAGAGGAAGAGGCAAAAGGAATTAGAGAAGGGGAGTTGGAGAGAAAAGGGGAGTTGTAGGGAGAGGGAGAGATGTGACAAAGAGAAGAACAGGTTACAGATGAAAATAAGATTCTTATGTCCAATAAACTACTCAGAAAAAGCTGGAAGTAGTGCTGTGGCTCATATGGTAGAGTGCTAGCCTTGAGTAAAAAGAAAACTCAGGAACAGCATCTAAGCCCTGAGTTCAAGTGCCAGAAACAGAACACAACCATACAACCACACACACACACACACACACACACACACAAAACCTAGGACTCTCAGGAGATAAAGGCAGGAAGATTTTGAGTTCAACAACCATACAACCACACACACACACACACACACACACACACACAACCTAGGACTCTCAGGAGATAAAGGCAGGAAGATTTTGAGTTCAAAGACAGCCTGAGCTACATAGTGAGACCTTGTCTCAAAAAAAAATAAATAGGGACTAAGAAAGTGTCTCCATGGTAGAGTGCTTGCCTTACATGCATGAGGCCCTGGGTTCAATTCCTCAGCACCACATAAGCAGAAAAAAGCCGGAAGTGGCGCTGTGGCTCAAGTGGAAGAGCGCTAGCCTTGAGCTGAAGAGCTGAGGGACAGCGCCCAGGCCTAGAGTTCAAGCCCTATGACCGACAAATTAATTAATTAATTTTAAAAAATTCTAGTGTCTCTACATCAATTTCACTTAATAATTTGTCAAGGGCTTATACTTGTTCTATATCTGTTTCTGTTTCTGAAATGGGAGTGGGAGTAGGGGGGTGTTTGTAACAAAAGTAAAATTAACATGAATAACTACTTTTCCAACACATACAAAGTCAGTTATAAATACTTACAATCTCAAGCGAGGCTCAACACATCTGACAAAATAATCATACTCGTCCTCCTCTTCTTCATCCCAGCTTCTCCAGATGTTTTGGTAGAAAAATCTGAAAAGGAGTTTACTTGTATTCAAATTCAATCACTGGCTCAAATGTTTTGCAAGGGTGACAGCTATAAAACAAATCAAAGTAATCCTACCAGCTATCACAAACACACAATGTTCTTTATTAATGCAGTGTTTGCTATGGTTGACAGTCACAAGTTACACAACATGTAGGATTTCTTTGAATCAGCTAGTGAAATTTTCCCACAACACTTGTTTTACTAGGATTTCCTTTTTATAAGAACTGTATTGAAGATCAACATCAACTAGGCAGAAAACAGTGCAATTTCTGGACATAGAAAAGATAAGGAGAGGGGCTGGGAAGGTGGCTCAGTGGTAGAGCACTTGCCTTGCATGCTCGAGGCCCTGGGTTCGATTCCTCAGCACCACATAAGAAAAAAAAAAAGCCAGAAGTGGCGCTGTGTGGCTCAAGTGGTAAAGCGCTAGCCTTGAGCTGAAGAGCTGAGGGACAGCGCCCAGACCCAGAGTTCAGGCTCCACGACCGGACCCCCCCCCAAAAAAAAAAGAAAAAAGAAAAGATAAGGAAAAAGAATAGGTATAACAGCTCATGATTATAATCCAGTTACTCCAAAAGCAGAGATCCAAAAAGGCTGGGGCATAGCTCAAGTGGTACAACTTGCCTAGGAAACATGAATCCCTAGGTTCATTCTCCAGAACAGCCAAATATAATAGATAATAACAATAATAATATATTTCCTTATTCCTTATCTTAGACCAGTAAGAATCTCAACTGGAGGAAGAACAGTCTATTTTTGTATAGCTCCCCAAATGATTTAACATTTTTATTATAAAATTTTTCAACTACATAAAGAAAACAAAGGAATCATGAATAGTATATAAAGATCACTATCACCTGTTTTCAATAATTATCAACTCATAGGTTATCTTTCCTCATCTCTATCCCTCCCACTTACCCCTCTGCTCCTCTAACACACAGTCCTGACACTGGGTTATTTTGCAGCAAATCTCAGGGATATAACTTTCATAAATTTTTAGTATTAAATCTTTATATCAAAAAGTTTTAATTCCTAATATTATAAAACATCTGACAATGTTCAAATTTCTCTAGTTGTCTCTTGCTGTTGTTGATTTTATCTAGAGTCAAACAAGAGTTGCATTTGCTGTATCTCTTAATCATTTTTATTCCATAGATTTCCTTTCCTTCTTTTTCCCTGCAATTTATTTAACAGTTCCAAACACTCTGAATTTTGTTAATTATATACTTAAGAAAGTCATTTTCTGTGTTCTTCTATTTCCTTTATTTCTAGTAAACTGAGAGATCTAGAGTTTTCTGGTAAGAATACTTCAGGAGAGATATAATGCAATGCCATTAGGAAGCACACTCAATGCCTGGTCATCCATTTTTTTGAGGTTAAGATGGATGGATACTGGTGTTATCAGTCTGATCTACCTGCTACCTGTTCCCTACAAGTTTTTCAGTTGTACTTACCATTGCTCGCTGCCTGGAACCTTTTTTTTCCCATTAAGAGTTATAAAATACATATATTCTGATTTTTATCATTCCTTTCTTCTTACATAAGTTGGAAAACTTCTATTTAAAAAAAAACAGGGGAGTTCACATGGGCACCCATGCCATCCAGCACAGGGTTGCCATGTCAGAGCTGCTGCAGCTCCAGATACAGGAAGACAGTAGAGTGTACAGTGAAGACTGTGGAGAGAAAAAACATTTGGAAGACACAGGGCCTCATGTTCTGGTGCAGAACCACATGCTGTGAAGACAGCCAGGCTCCATGCAACAAGTGCCAACAGTATATCACTGACTGTTGCCACAAACCTCTGGCTCAAGCTCAGAACTGGTGACAAGTGAACTGGAAAAGTTCTAGGACCACCTGGCCCAGTGTATATATTACAACAACAGAACCAGATTCAATAGATGCAAGGAATAAGGAGATCTCTAAGATTTTTTTGTTCAAGGATACCACTCTAACACTTCTTACTTTTTGGTGGTTAACTGTAAATAAGTATCTCACAAACTTTCTCACAAACTGAGCTAGCTTCAAACCACAATCCTCAGATCTTAAGCCTCTTGAGTGGTTAGGATTACAGGCATGAACCATTAATTCCTTTTAAACCACAAAACTAGAAGTTGGCCTAGATTTCCATATCATTTTTATTGGGCCACCACATCCCAGAACCTTCAGTGAGTCTCCATCAGTGCTCATTGCTGCTCTCTTTCTCTCTTGCCTCTTAAATGGGTTTCATATTGCATCTCCCTCCATTTATTTTCCACGCAGAAGCCAGAAATTTTCAAATACAAAGCTGGTCACCCTCTACAAAGAGCACAGTTACTGCTAGTTTTAGTGTTGGACTTAGACCTCCTCCGGCCTATATGCTTCCCATATACCTGGGACTATAGGTATGAACCACAACTAGCCAGCACCATCCACAATTTTGAAGGCAGTTTCTGACCTACACAAACAAAATTGAATATCCTCTATCGTCTGCTAACATTTGCAAATACCAAGTAAAGAAAGTCCTTTTACTATTTTTAAACTTTTTTGCAGGTTTGAAATGACTACAAAGTAAATATTTTAAACATTTTTTGTTTTTATTTTAACTTATAGTGTCCTAGAGGATGGATGTGTGGCTCAGTGGTAAATAAAGCATGTGCTTTGTAAGCAGAAAAACAAGATTCAAGAAAGAAGTTAAACAAAAAAAAAAAAAATAGGTTCAATCTCCAGCAAAACAAAAAGGGATATTCCCCTAGTCTTTGAATATTTTTATCTTTTTTGTTTTTGAAGGTATTGAGGTTTGAATTCAAATTCTCACATTGCTACACTGCTGTTATATAGCCTCCATCCCTGTATTTCACTTGTCACTTTGAAGAATAGGATCTCATTTCTTGTATGGGTGCAAACCTGAGTTGATATTTGTCGGCTTCCCGTAGTAGCTAGATCACAGGCACACATCAGTGTCCAGTTTCTCTCTGTGGAGATGGAGTCTTGCAGATTTTTCTGCCTGGGCTGGCCAAGTTAACCCACTCTAAGTCTTCTACATTCTAAGTCTTCTCATTTTAGGGTGGCAGTCATCCTAAAATGAGAAAGGACTGTATTCCTGCCCATGATGGCATTAAATATGATCTTATTGTTCTGAGCCTCCCAAATAGCTAGGATTATAATAATAAGGCAGTGGTGCCCATCAAGTTCTAAATATTTTTAAATACAGCAGTAACAAAGTTTTTACATCTTGATGTAAATCTGAGTCTAATCAAGACCAGAATTATTTAATTTATTGTTGTAATGTTATTTTTATCAATTTCTCTTCCTACCTGACATGCTCAATTGCAAGGGCTGTCTGGTCAAACACTCCAGAATCATCAAATACCACCCACAACTCCTGTAAGGGCAACCGATATTCCTTCAGATCAAGAAGCTCCTTCATACACTCCAAAGTAAAAGTGCTCACTTCAGATTCACAAATATATGGCTCAGCAAGCTTCACCACTGCCTTTAAGGCTGAAAAGTCCACGTCTGTAACCTGAAATTTAAAATAATGTGACTCAACACATGGAAAGCAAAGGTAAGACGCACATATAAAGCACTATAAATAAATAGTTTACTTGTGTATAGGGAGAGGGGAATTTGTTCCAGCCCTGGGCTTGAACCCAGAGCCTCAGTGCTATCTCTGAGATTTTTCTCAAGGTTAGTGCTCTACCACTTGAGCCACAGCTCCACTTCTGACTTTTTAGTGGTTAGAGATTAGAGTCTCACAAACTTTCCAACCTGGCCTGGCTTACAACTATGATCCTCAAGGATCACCCTCATGAGTAGCTGGGATTACAGGTAGGAGTCACCCACACAACAATGACTGTGCGCTTGGTTTTTAACCATGAAATCGGAGCAAAGAATAAAAGAAGACAAGCCCAGCAAGGTAAGGGTGGCTCAAGCCTTAATACTACTTACTCAAGGCTAAAATCTGAGGATCACAGCTTGAAGCCAATATAGTCAGTGAAGTCTAAGAGACTCTTATCTCCAATTAACCACCAAAAAGCCAAAAGTGAAGCTGTGGCTGAAGAGACAGCAAATAAGCTAAGGGACAGCAGCAACACCCTGAGTTCAGCACAGATAAAAATAAATAGAAAAGAACAAGCCCAGTACTGGTGGCTCACACCTGTAATCCTAGCTACTCAGGAGGCTGAGATCTGAGGATCACCATTCAAAGCCAGCCTGGGCAGGAAGCCCATAAGACTCTTATCTACAATAAACCACTCAGAAAATCAGAAGTGGCACTGTGGCCCAAGTGGTAGAGCACTCGCCTTGAGCTGAAGAGCTGAGAGACAATGCCCAGGCCCAGAGTTCAAGCTCCACAACTGATGGAAAAAAAAAAAAGAAAACAACAAGCCTAGTGTTTACCCTCATGGAATTCATACTGCAATCAGAAAGAAAAATAAAACAGGATAGTGTTGAACATGTAACAAAGTAACTATAGGTCTATGCCTTTACAAGATTATTTTTCTTTTTTTTCTATAATTTTATTGTTATTATTAAGGTATTATAAAGAGAGGTTACCATTTCATAAACCAGGTAATGAGTACATTTCTTTTTTTGGACATTGTCACCCCTTCCTTCACCCTCTCCCAGTAAAGCAACTCATAGTCACATTCCCTATTTAACATTTAACAAGGTTTTTTTTTTTTTTTTTTTTTGGGGGGGGGAGTTGTGATACATTGACAAATAATGAGAAAAATTCCAAGTTGTGATTTAAAAGGTTCAGTCAGCTGAAAAATAAAATTGTTCTTTCTTTCTATATTAAGACACATTATCACAAGATTAATCCTGTTAGGCTAAAAAATGAGCTAGTTATCCAATGCCTATTTGATTTATACTACTTAAAGAACTTCAACCAAGAAAGTAAAAATTTAAATAAAGCTCCACTGGATATAAAGAGGATTTTTTTTTTGATGTGCTGGTCCTGGGGCTTGAACTCAGGGCATAGGAGCTGTCCCTGAGCTTTTTTGCTCAAGGTTAGCACTCTACCACTGAAGCCACAGCTCTACTTCTATCTTTTTACTGGTTAATTGGAGATAGAGTCTCCTGCATAGGCTGTCTTCAAACCTCAATTCTCAGATCTCAAACTCCTGAGTAGCAAGGATTACAGGTATGAGCCGGGCCTTATTTTCTAGAGGATCTCAAATACCTCCTTTCCTTTCACAGGTTTATAATCCATTTCTTCTTATCAAAGGACAAAGAAACTTAATCCACTTTAATTCCCTGGTAATTCCTTCCTGCTAACATTTAAAATTTGTGGAACACTTCAACTACTATGACAATTAGATGTAAAAAACACATGATTTTCAATCTATTTATAAAATAGGAATTTTGATATTATCAGTCTGAGGTAAAATGATTATAGGTAGAGACATCTATCTTAACAGAATTTAATTTACCTCAACCAACACCTCAAATACATTCGTGTGCCAGACTGCTCGCCATCCAGATGGTTCAAGGACCTTCTCTAAGAATTCAGCTGTGAATTCCCTCACCTCAGAGGCTTTGCAGTCAGCTACAAACAAATTCAACACAGTAAGAATTGAAAATGCACAAAGTAGAGAGAAGTTAATAAATACATTTAAATCTACTTTTTCAGAACCAATAACTAGCAACCTAAGGGACAATCTACTAATAAACTTACAAAAGAAGCAAAAAAGAACTTACCTAAAATGTAATCCTGATAGGCTTGGAATCGCTCATAGAACAAAAGTTGATTTGTTTGAAAAATTTCTGGGAAAAGAGTTTTTCCTTCTGGTACAAAGCTTTGTAAAATGGTACCTGGCTTATCACAATAATTACAGTCATAACATGAATCTTCATCTTGGAATAAACCTAATGAACAACAAAAATAAGCAGGCTCAATTATCCCAGCACTTCAGTACTTATAGAGTACTCCTCTTCTATAAAACACAAATAAGGGTAAGTGTTAAGATGCTCTATTTACCTATACCGCTATTAGAAAAAACTATCTTTCAAACATCAAAATGCAATTTCTACTTCAAAGCAGTAAGGGCTTAAAATTTTTCACAAGTTTTTGTTGTTATTCTCTTAGGAAGAAAAGGGTTTTTGTTGGTGTTAGGGCTTGAACACAGGACCTGGGCACTGTCTCTGAGCTTTTGGGCTCGAGATTAGCATTCTACCACTCGAGGCATAGCTCTACTTCTAGCTTTTTGGGGGGCACTTAATTGGAGATAAGAATATCATGAACACTCTCTTGCTTTGAACTATGAGCCTCAAACCTCAACCTCCTGAAAAGCTAGATTACAGGTGTAATGATTAGCATTTGCTACGCATTATTTTTTAATTCAATAGAAACCACTCAAATTCTCTTTCAAAGTTATTGTTTTTATTTGTACTCTAATTAAAGTTATAATGGTCACATATCTTACAGAATTTTCTCCAGAAACCAATTCCATCAAACAGTATTAAAAGAGGGATCAGCTTTTTATACTACACCTCGAAGGGGTTTAAGCAGCCTTCAAAGGAAGGCTTTCTATAGTGTGAGTCTGACAATGGCCTCTCAATAAGCAGGTATGAAAGGTTATTAACACATGTTGTACAAAGGGGTTTCACTATATTTCCATAATGCATATAATGTACTTTAATCAGCTTCACCTCCCCGTACCTTCTCCCTGCAACTTCCATTGGTTTTCCCCAAGCAGTTTCTTTTACAATGTCATATAGGAGAGAGAAAAAAATGTGATGTCTTTCTGAGTCTGGTCTATTTTGTTGAATATCATGATCTCCAATTTCACTGTTTTCCTGCAAATGACACAATTCTGTTTTTCTTTATGGCTGAATAATAAATACTACATTGTGTATATATACCACATTTTTTTTATCCATTCCTCAGCTGACAGACACCTAGGATGATTCCGTAACACAGCTTTTGTGAATAGCAATAATGTGACTATGCAGGTATCTCAATTGTATACTTAAAATTCTTCAGATATATACCCAGGAGTGACACCATTCAGAGCTCTATTTTTAGTTTTTTAGGGGTTTGGTTTTGGTTTTCTTGTGTCAATACTGGGCTTAAGCTCAGAGCCTCATGTTCTTGCTTAGCTTTTTTATTCAAGGCTGGTTCTCTACCATGTGAGCCATACCTCCACTTCCAGCTTTTTGCTGGTTGACTGGAGATAAGTCTCTCATATTTGTCTCCCTAGTCTGGCTTTGAACCTCCTTCCTCAGATTCTGGCCCTCCTGAGTAGCTAGGGTTACAAGTTTGAGCTACCTGCACCTGGTCTAATTTTAGGTTTTTTGAGGAACTTCCAGACTACTATGTATCAGAAGTAGTTTTGTTGTTGTTGTTGTTTGAGGGTTATAAAGTTTTATTTGGGAGTGGGGTTGGTGCTGGGACTTGAACTCAAGACCTTATGCTTACTGAACCACCTGAGCCACTCTCACAGCCCAGAGATCCTTAATAATACATAAGATTTACTTACTTAAAACTACTAGGTTTCTCAATAATTTCAAGGACTGTGTCTAAGGAAAAGATCAGAAAGTACAAACCACCCTACGTCTGGTTGATAAGTACTTATGTTTCAAAAGGTATGATTTGGCCAGAATCCTTATCTAATTCAGTGCAATAAGATGTTTTTAATAGACATCTTAATTAACAAACTAAACAAGCAAAGCCAATGGTGGTAGCCTTTAGACTGGCAGAGTAGTTTCCAGACGTGTTTTAAGGGAAAGTGTGTAATACTGTTATTAGTAGCATTCCCACATCTTCCTTTGCTTTCTCCTTCCTTCCATTTCTTTGCCCTTGTTCAGACAATCAGAACTATTTTATCCCACAGATGACCCACGTACTCAAGGGACTGCTGCTCACAAATTCTGATCACATATCACTAGCCTGTGACCATCTCTCTATGCCTCAGCTTACCTGTCTATAAGGAATATAAAAATAGCCAGGTGCTGTGGCTCATCCCTGTAATCCTAGCTAATGCAAGAGGCTGAGATCTGAGGTCTGTAGTTCAAAAACCAGCCCACGCAAGAATGCCCGTGAAGGGGGCTGGGAAGGTGGCTCGGTGGTAGAGCGCTTGCCTTGCATGCATGAGGCCCTGGGTTCGATTCCTCAGCACCACATAAGCAAAAAGAAAAAAGCCGGAAGT